CAAAAAAAAAAAAAAAAAAAAAAAAAAAAGCGAAAAACTGATTACATGTATCAAAAAAAATAGTAAATTTTGAATTTCAATTCTTTTTTTCTTTTAAAATAGATTAAAATAAAGGCTATTATTATATTTTCTTCTTTAAGAATTTTATATATTTATTTTACTCATATATAGAGAAGTTTATGTGTTTGCTAATTACACATTCAATTAATAGACTCAAAATTTAGGAAAAATAATTTTTTTTTTTTTTTTTTTGTTTACAAAAAATTATAAGCTGTAAAAGATTCATATTGAAAATGAAGATATTATAAAATGTAAATGTAAAAGTTTTCTTTTCAAATTAAACAATGAAAAAAACATAACATTATATGATATCCTATTTTTTTTTTTTAAAGATTCATTTTCTTATTTAAGTATATTAATATAAACCTAGCATTTGTTCTCCTTATTTTAAATATTTGCGCTCATATTTTATAAAAAATTTATTTAATAAATTTTTTTTTTAGAGTTATATTAATTTAAACATATATAAATTTTTTGTGTGCATTTTATTAATATTTTATTTTTTCATGAAATTTAACTTTTTTAAATTTATTTTGGTAACCTTCAAAAACCATTTTTCATAGAAGCTAAAACAAGTGCATACAGTTTAATTTGGAATATTTAATTTTATTATTATTAAAATTATTTTTCATTTTTTTATTAAATGTAATATATAATATTATGGTTATATTAAATTACATGTATTTATATGCTTTAGTAATAATGTATTATTTTATCTATTTGTTTAAATGATTTATAAAAATGGAAACAAAATACATTAGTTAAGGTACTAGTATTATTAATTATAAAAATCTGTTTATTGGTTTAAAAACATTTCAAATAAGTTTCTTACATATATAAAATATTATGCTTTAAAAATTCCTAAAATTGAAATTTTATTAAATGGAACTTTTTAATCACAAAATTTGTCCATTTGAAATTTTCAAATTCTATTTATTAAAATATTTTTTTTCATGGTTCACCCTTTAGAATTTAAAAAAAAATTATATTTTTTTTTTTATTATCACTTTTATTCGCAATTTTATTTTTTCTTTAACAATAATTATAGAAAGATCTAAATAAAGTAAATATTAACGTATTTTTGTTATTTGAAAAATTAACATGATATACAAATTATTTGATAAGTATCTAACAAAATAAAAAAAAAAATGGGATACCATATATTTGGAAAAGGAAAATTAAAAATAAGAAAACTCCAAATATATTTATTAACACATTTATGTTTTAAAAAAAAATTAAAAAGTGTATACTGAAAATAATTCTCTTTAAAATATATACATGCTTATAAGAAAAAAAAAAAGAGGCTACATTAATTTTGTGTGAAAAAATATTAAAAGAAGAAAAGTAAATACATATATAAATAAAATAAAAGGGAAAAATAATAATAGTAAAAGATTTTATTTTTCATATATAAATGGAATTGAAATTTTTTCTTAATTTTATTATATTATTTGGAATAAAATGTGTAACAGCCTCAGTAAATTTTACTGGATTAGATATAAAAAATATAAAAGGAAAATACAAAGAATTGGAAAATTCTGCTCAAAAACATAATGTAAACGAGCAATTCTTGAATGAATTAAATAAATCTAATTACAAAAACATTAATGTTATAGCATTAAGTACATCAAGGCATTACTTTAATTATAGGCACACAAGTAATTTATTGATTGCATATAAATATCTAAAAAATTTGGGTGATATTATGGATAAAAATATAATACTTATGATTCCTTTTGATCAAGCTTGTGACTGTAGAAATATAATAGAAGGTACAATCTTTAAAGAATATGAACATTTTCCTGGAGAAAGCTTTGATGAAAAAAAAGAAAATCCTAATTTATACAAAAATATATATATTGATTATAAGAATAATAATGTAAGAGATGAACAGATAAGAAGAGTTATTAGACACAGATATGATGGTTTTACCCCCAAAAAAAATAGATTATATACCAGTGGAGATAAAAAAAAAAATTTATTTATTTATATGACTGGCCACGGTGGGGTAAACTTTTTAAAAATTCAAGAGTTTAATATTATGAGTTCTTCCGAATTTAATTTATATATACAAGAATTACTTATAAAAAATATTTATAAATACATTTTTGTAATAATTGATACATGCCAAGGTTATAGTTTTTATGATGACGTATTGAAATTTATTTATAAAAATAAAATAAATAATGTGTTTTTATTATCATCATCCAATAGAACTGAAAATAGCTACAGTTTATTTTCAAGTAAATATTTAAGTGTGTCTACAGTAGACAGATTTACCTACAATTTTTTTAACTATTTAGAAAATATTTACAGAATATACCCAAATGAGCCATATAAAAATGCGAAATCCTTTTCTATGTATAATATTTTGAATTATTTAAAAACTCAAAATATAATGTCGGAACCTACAATAAATAATTCTAAATTTAGTTCATCAACATTCCTACATGATAAAAATATTCTTTTTTATAATTCTAATTTTTTCATTATAAATAAAGATTTTTATGAATCTCCACATAAATATGACTACATGAAAAATAAAGAAGAAAGATTAAGTTTTCAAAATGAATGCCTTGGTGATCTAAGTTTTTGTGGACATATAAAGGGAAATATATACACAAATATGATAAATCTATATAATAACAGAAGTTACTACAGTGATATAAAAGTTTACATGAAAGAGGAAACGCATTTTGCAGATTACTATTTCACTTCTAAAATTTTTGATACCAATAATTCAATAAAAATATTACTTGCTTTATTTTTCATTTTATTTTCTATCCTTTTTTTTTTTTTTAAGTAATTTTATTTTCTAATATTTTATTTTATTTTTTTTTTTTTTTTTGTAAAATGGATACTTTTTTCTGGGGAAAGAATTATTATTTTTTATTTTTCTATAAAATGATAATTAACATCTGAATGTAACTTAAAAAATAAAATTTTTTAAAAAATGTATTTTTTTTATATAATTAAAATTTGTAGGTTTAATTTTTCTTTATTCTCTATTGATAATTATTTCAAGGAAAGAAATGATAATAATGTTTATAAATAGAATATTTTTTTTATATAAATATGAAATTAAATATATCAAGGAAAACATGTTTTTTGTTAATTCAAACGTAATATCATAAAAAATTTAGAAATAGAGTAAATAATTTAAGAAAGAAGAAAATTTATGTTTTCATATTGTTTATATTAAAAATATTCCTTTTGATTTAAATTCGTATTTTAAATACTTAATGATTTTTAAAAAATGGTCCGTACTTATATAATACAAAACGTAAAATTAAAAATATTAAAATATTATATGTAATATACAGAATAAAAAATATTGTGTAATAATTATTATGTTACCAAAAAAATGGTAAATAACAATTTATAGCATGCGTAATATTTCATTTGAAAAAAAAATAAATTTAAATTGAATATATGTTTATTTTTATTACCATAAGAAACATATCTTTTAATATGTCTCCTTTCTGATGCCTCTAAAAGATTTTGAAGTAGATAAATGTTTTTAATTAATTCTACATCAGGATTATTTGCAATCTTATTTTTAGCTTTTTTTATATTAAATTTCAACAAGTAACATTCTATTATACTGAAGTTATAAATACCAAAATAAAAAAAAATTGTGGCACTTTCTTTTCTTTATGAATTCTATTTTAATTTTAAAAATTATATATTTTAAATTTTTTAAAAATAAATAAAACAATTTTATTTATGAAGAAAAAAAAAAAAAAATATACTTTAAAATTATTACTAATTTTAAATAATATTTTTTTAATATTTTGTAACAGTTACAACTTAAGAAAAACTAGAAAAAAACTTTTAGTAAATTTTAGTTTTTTTTTTTTTTTTTTTTTTTTTTTTTTGAAATGTGTTATGTGGTATTTTTTTGTGTGCATACTTTTTTTTCATGTCATGGTAGCATCAATAGAAAAAAACGTTGGTTGTATAAACAATAATACATTTGCAAGTCAGGAAATAAAAATAATATTTTATTTTTTAAAATTATAACACTTTAAAAGAAATTAAAACAATGATAAATATTTTATATAAATTAAAATATAAATAATATTAAAGAAAGAAAAGCTACCTTCTTTAGAAAATTTGAATGCATGTGTTTTTTAATTAATGTTAACACTAATATATTTTATATTTTTTTAATTTCAATACTTCACTATGCACTATGTAAATTTATAAAAAATTACAAAAATATATTAGAATTTTACAAAATTCTGTAATAAAAAAAAAATATATATATATATATATATATATATATATATACATAAATTTTACAATAATAAATATATATTTATAATTATAATTTCATAAATTATTATGAAAAATAACCAAATAATGTTAATATTTTATAAAATATACGAATAGAAAAAAATAAAATATATATATGTTAAACGCATTGGTGTGTGAATACAAAAATAAAAATATTTTTATTTTAGACCTAAATTGTCCAATAGAAGCTGAACCATTCGTGCACCATTTTGAACTATATTGTAATATGTCACAATTCATTTAATCATAATTATAATCACATTTAACCTAACAATATTACAAGTAAAAATAATTTTATTAAAGTTTTTGAAGTAGCTAGAATAATTTTTTTTTTGTGTTTTTTTTTCATGAAGAGAATAAATACAAATTAATTTTTTCAATTTACACAAAAAAGGACATTCTTTATATTCCACACTATAAAATGAATTTATCATATATTTTTTGCTATTATATATGGTAAAATAAAAAGATTAAGTATTATTTTCATTTTTTAAATAAAAGACATATAGTATTCAATTTTGTTGAAATGATGTATTTTTATATTTAAGATACATAATAAATAAATTGTTAAAATGTTATTATTTATTTATTTATTTTTTCTTTTTTTTTTACAATAATTCAACATTATAAAAAGAAGTGAAATAGAGAAATTTTAATCCATTAAAATATTTTACATATGTTTTAAATTTTATGATATTTTTATTTTCGATATTCTCCTTTTTTTTATATTTTCCTCTATTATATTTTTTTTTTTTGTTTTCCTTATTTTTCAACGTAATGTATTAACTTTGTGTATTTATTATAATATCATATATAAACACCCATGTTATGGTCATATTCTTTTTTTTTAAGAATTGTTTAAATTTAATATATTATTCGTTTCAAATGAATTATTTATTATGGATCCTTATAGTGTATTGTTTATTTTTTATTATTCTGTTAAATTTGTTAACATTATATAATTGTTGAATTATTATATATATATATATATATATATATGTATATATTTTCTAAATAAAGATACCTTTTTTTATTTGTTGTCTAATAGACTATTTAAATTTTTTTGATAATTAGTTTAACTGATTTAATATTATTTTAATTAGCTTTTTTTGTTACTTTTTCTTTTTTTGTAATTAAAATTTGTACATATGTATTCTTCTACTTTTAAATTCTATAGAGTTTTAATTTTTTTTTTTTTTTTTTTTATTCTTAATGTAATGTATTTCATTTCATATTATTAATTTTTCTATATTTTTCTTCTAAATTATATATGTATTTGTGAGTTAAAAAAATGGATATAAGACATGTAGAAGGTTGTGAATATTATGAGAGAGAAAATATTAAAGATTGTGAAGATGAAATTAAAAAAGTGATGAATAAATTACTATATGAGAGGAAGAAGAATTTTCAAGAGCAAGATAATTATTGTCACAATCCTTCGATAAGTATTTGTCCTAATGTTTACTGTAATATTTACACAGATTTATATAATTGGTTTGGTTTTAAAAATTGTATGAAAATAGATACAGAAAGCTTGAATACTTGCTTTACTGATGTAACCAATGGAGGTGTGGGATATTACGAGAAGCTGATAGTTTTAGGAGGAAGAATTTTAGAATTATATAGTGAACTACATTTTTTTAATAAATATAATTATGAAAAAGATGAAGAGATTGTTGATGATTTAAGAAATATTAAATCAATTAAAGAGGTAGTTTTTCATTATTTATATGTTCAAAAAAGAAAAAACCGTGTGGTATACAGGAACAGTTTATATTTGTTCGGATACTCCTATTTATATACTCCTTTATTTTTTAACAATAAAAATTCTATAATAAAATATGTTAAAGCTTGCGTAGCTTATGCAGTTAAATTTAGCGGATCAAATATATTTTCATGGATGCCTTCATTAATAGAGCACATATATCACTCGCAGAAACTAAAAGTTTCAGAAATAGAACAAGAAAATGAACTTATACAAGATTTACAAGAATATTTAGGTTATCAATTTGATTATATAATACCAAGAATAAATGAATGCTTCAGCTACCATAATTTATATATAAGCAATTCTCATTTAACAGGATTACAAATAATTCGAATATTTGCTAATGAATATTTTTCTCTCTTGGCAGACGTAAATAAATAAAAATATAAATTTTTATATACATTTATACTTTTGTACTCTTTTACATTTTTGTGTGATATTTTCTAATTCATATATACATCATTAGTTCTATTATTATAAATACGTGATTAAAAATGAATGAATGTAAAATTTTTTTTTTTAATAATTACATGATAAGCATATAAAAAAGAAAAAAAAAAAAAAAAAAAAGATATTTTAATTCATATGTATGTTCTATTAAATTAAAAAAAATATAATTTTATACAATGAATTTTACAAAAAAATAATGTTTCAATTGTAATTTTTCTGTCTTAATTTAGGATGTTGGTGTTTATGGGAAGGAAAAAGCTATTTGGGTAAGAGAAGAAACTGAAGCTTTTTTAAATTCAAATTGTATAGAAATATTTAGTGGGTGCATGATATCAATTAATAAATATTTAAATGAGAAGAATGTAAAAATATCTAAAATAAGAAATATTTTTGAAATGATATTATCTTCATGTTGGGTAATAGGAAAAGAAAAAAAAAATAAAATATGGGTTAGCGCATTGATACAAAGATTAAGGCAAGTGCAACTATTAACTCAAATAACTACTATAGAAAAATGGTCTTATAGTATAAAAAAATATAATGATATAAATATAAATAATTTTGTGAATGATATTTATAATTTTAATAACATAAATGGAAGCATATTGTCTCCTTTTCAATTACAAAATATAAACACATATTTACCTTCAAAGAAAACTCAGTTAAAGCAAATACCTTATTATACCACATTAGCAGATAAATATAAAGATCGTTTTCATCAAAATGATAATAAAAATACAAAGAACAAAAAGGATTACAAAATTTCCAATGTTTTAAATAGTCTTTCTAACAATTTATCTAAACATTTTAAGTCAAGAAAACAGAGAATTAATGCACCACCAAATATGATGAAAATTTATGCAAATAATGGGAACCTACCTGCAGGTAAAACAAAAATAAGTATTTATATATAAATATATATATGTATATTTTGATAGAAAATTATATAAAAGGAAGTTCTTTCTGATATCATAACCTATTATTTTAACTTTTAAGTTTTACATTTTTTATACTAATATAGGTAGTAACTATATTAATTCTAATGATTATTATTCCAATGATGATGTATCGGGTTATGATGTTTCAAATAGAGATGAAGAGGAAATAGAAGATGAGAATAATGAAGAAGAAGATGAACATAAGTATGAAGAAAAAAAAAAAAATAATAAAATAAAAAGTAAAAATAATGGAATACCAGTTAAGATAAAATATATTAAAGATTCCAAGGACGATGAAAACTCTAAATATGTTATAGAAATACCAAAAAAAGACTTGAAGGGGAAAGGAAATAAGAATCATATAAAAGCTGGTATGATTAAATTAAGAAAAAGTATTAAATTACATAATATTTATAAAAGAGAAAACAAAATAAAATTATTATAAAAAACTATTAATATACATGTAATATCCTCTTAATGAAATATATGATATTCCCTTTATATTTTTTTATTTCTTATATAAGAAAAAAAAAAAATATGTACATTTTTTATTTTACTATTGAGTTATTATATTAAAAAGAGTAATTTAAAAATAATAAAATGTAAATATTTTTTAAATTTTTTTAGTACTTTGGGGTAATAAAGAAAGGGGCTTAGAAATAAAGATACCAACAGTAAAAAACATATTGCCACAAATGAAAATAAAAACAAACAAAATTTTATAAGATAATTTTATATATATGCTAAAACGAAAAATATGTGATTTTTAATAATTTGAAAAAAAATCTGTTCACATTTAATTTCCTATAAGCAGAATAATATGTTTGTATGCTTAAAGTAGATATATGCGCATGTAGCTTATCCTTAATTTTTTTCCAGTCTTAAATTTTTTTTTTTTTTTAAAATACTATTAATTTTAAAATTTTAAAAGAAATTTATATATGCACATATATTAATTTTATAATGGGATTAATTCAATGCAGTTCTATCCCTCTACATTTAAAAAAAAAAAAAGTTTAAAGTTATAAAAATTTAGTTAAAGTAAAATTGCTCATTATTTTACATCTTATTTTATGCATACATATATATATGCAAAAAAAAAAAAAAAAAAAAAAAAAAAAAAAAAAAAAAAAAAAAAAAAAAAAATAAAAAAAAAATATGTTTAAATGTTTTATAAAAAATACAAACATAATGCAGTTAAGTAAAAAATAATAAAAAAAAAAAAAAAAAAAAATTAAATATATAGAATATATTTTGCACAAATTTTTAAAAAATCATAAGAGATAATTTACAAAGAACTTTGTAGAAAAAAAAAAAAAATACAAGTAATAGATATTAATAACAATTTCCATTATTTTTAAGAATTAAATTTTTTAAACTTTATAAAAAACATTAAAAATTAAAAAAAAATAAAGTATTTATATGTTGATGAAACAAAGAAGATAGGGAAATATTGTAGATTGTTAAGAAATTGAGGAAAAAAAAAGAATAAAATGGAAAAAATAAGCAACAATAAGACTAAATTAGCCCTCGCTTTATTAGGAGGCTTATGTTCTTATGCATTTTATCATTTAAGAAAAAAATTTAACTTTTCATATATTTTATTTTCAAAAAAATGGTTTAGTGAATATTCTTTAATGTGGCCAGGTCAAGCTTTTAGTTTAGAAATAAAAAAAATTATTTACCAAACTAAATCAAAGTTGCAAGTAATTTTATATTTTATGTTTTTTTAATACATATGTACATACTACGTTTATAAATATGACCATTAAATATTTTTTTTTTGTAATTTTTGTTTTTAAAGAATCATACATGTTGAAGGTTGATATTAACATTACTAATAAATAATAGTATTTTATTTATACAACTTTTAATTAATTATACATGAACATATATACATATATATATATATATTTTTTTAAAAATGAAGTATTTAATATATATATTTGGATACTAAAATAAAATTAATTTTTGTTTTATACTAGGAAAGCAAAAAGTACTGATATTTATGAACAAATTATTAATTTTTTTTTTTTTTTTTTCTCTATAGAATATTTTAGTTTTTGAAAGTAAAACATTTGGGAATGTACTAGTTTTAGATGGAGTAATACAATTAACAGAAAAAGATGAGTTTTCATATCATGAAATGATGACACATATACCTATGACTGTATATGAAGATGCTAAAAATGTTTTAGTTGTTGGTGGTGGTGATGGAGGAATAATACGTGAATTATGTAAATATAAGTGTGTTGAAAATATTGATATTTGCGAAATAGATGAAAAGGTTATAGAAGTATCTAAAAAATATTTTAAAAATATTAGTTGTGGTTTTAATGATAAAAGAGTTCACATTTTTATTGAAGATGCAAGTAAATTCTTGGAAGATATAACTAATACATATGATGTTATAATTATAGATAGTTCTGATCCAATTGGACCAGCTGAAACATTATTTAATCAAAGTTTTTATGAAAAAGTATATAATGCTTTAAAACCTAATGGAGTTTGTGTTGCTCAAGTAATTAAATATAAATTTTTATAAACATTTATTTATTTTAATTTTATTATTTTTATTATTATATCTTATTTTCTTTATCTTAACAGTGTGAATCTATATGGATACATGTGGGAACCATAAAAAAAATGATGAGTTTTACAAAAAAAATATTTAAAAAGGTGGAATATGCAAATATTAGTATTCCTACGTATCCATGTGGATGTATAGGTATAATAATTTATAATAAAAAAATAATATATATATATATATATATATATATATATATATATATATATATATATATATATTTTTAAGTATTCAATTTATTAACATATATCAAAAAAGAAATAATACAGAATAAATTAATATATTTTATAATATTCCTTTTTTTTCAATGTTTTAATGAATTCTTTCTATTAAAAATAATTATATAAATATATAATATAAAAAATAATATTTAGAATAAAAATTTATTTTTTCTGTATGTTCAAGTGTCTTTTCGCTTATATATTATGTTAGAATAATTATTTATATTATATTTATTTGCATTTCACTATTATTAATAATAGTCTTTTTTTTATATTTTATTACGTATATATTTTAATATTTTATTTATTTTAATTATTAAAATATTTAAAAGTGTATTCACACATTTTAATTACATGTAAATACTTTTATCAAATTTTTTAATTTGTTCCATTTACATATATATAAATATAATTGATAAATTATTTTTTTTTTTTTTTTTTTTTTAAATAGGTATACTTTGTTGTTCTAAAAGAGACACCGGCTTGATGAAACCAATTAAAAAATTAGACTCAAAAGAATTTGAAGACTTAAAGTATTATAGTTATGAAAATCACATAGCTTCTTTCAAATTACCCATCTTTGTTTTAAAGGAAATTGAAAATGCATAATAATTTTTAATTAATTTTACATTATTTTATTTTTATATATTTATACACATAAGTATATTAGTGGAAAAATTGATATGAATTTCTTTTTTATTATTCGATATATATATTTTTTAAAAAAGAAAAATTTGTGTTTTTCCTTTTTTTATTTTTATATGTTTTATAAGTTTCATGTGAAATTGCATGCAAAGATAATACAAAAAAAAAATAATAAATAAAAAAACAATTTTTTAAATATAAAATATTATTACTTCTACATCATTTTTGTTAAATATGTCGATTTAATATAACAATTTGGAATATATATTTACAATAAAAAAAAAAAAAAATTACATAAAAAATGTTATAAATTTATTCTTTTTAAAATAATATCCTACATAGTAGAATTATTTTTCTGTTTCAATTTACATAAAATTTAAAGTCCATATTAAAATTAAATTGCATGAGTTCTATTTAAAAAAAAAAATAACCTTTAAAATTTTATTGTACTTATAAAAAATTGTCAAAGTTATTTCGGTTTTAATAATTACTAGAAAATAATTTAATATTATATATATTCGTGAATATAAAAAAAATTAAAAAAGAAAATTTTTTTTTTAATTACTTTTTATTATATATTATAAAGGTTATAAATTTTTTTTTAGAAAAATTGTAATTTACTAATTATAAATACTTTTTTTTTTTTTTTTTTAATGCACGAAAGCTTTTATATACGAAGTGAAGATACAGCATGCAATTTTTAACTTCAATATATCATTTAGTTTTACTAAGTTGAGAGATATAAAATTATATATATATTTTTTTTTAATTTTAATCAACGAAATCATCAACAAAAGTTATAGCAATTTAAAATATTTTAAATTAATTTATATAAAATTTAATCTACAATAATTTTAAAGTACTATTAAAAATTTTTCTTTAATGATCATAAAATATTTTTTTTTTATTTTCAATATCGTTTAATTTTTAATATAAATTTTTTTTTTTTTTTCTATTAATTTAAACCAATTTTAATTGAAATTAGTAAAATTTGAATCTTCATTGAAAAACCTAAATTTCTTATTAGTAGTTTTTTCTTTATTAATTTTAATTTTTTTTTTTTTTTATTTGAGTTTTTTTATATTAAAAATGATAAAAGCTGTATTAACATTATTATTCATTTCCTATTCATATGCTGTTAATGTAGTTGATTCTCAAGCTAAGGAGCAAATTAAATTTAGTGCAAAGTTAGAACTAGAAAATCCTAATCATGTGCCATTTCTAGAAATAATAAATAGTGAATTTTCTAAAGTTAAAGATTTTTCCCCTGATTTAGTGAAAAATGGTTATACATGTTCATTTAATAAATTTGATATTATTATTCATAATTCATCAGAAGCAATTAATAAATTATTTGTTGTTGGTAATGAAAACTATGTAAGATGGGCTGCTGACGAATATAAACTAAGGTTGATGCTTACATTAGATCATTTAAGTTCAACAACTTCATTAAAAAATTTAGAATATAATTCTCAAAATGTTACTAGCCGATATTTTTCTGATTTAAGGAGATATTTTTTTGAATTAAATAATGAAAATTCATCAGATGAAGGAGAACCAAATGACATTTCGGATGAAGAAGAAGTGAATCAAGTTGCATCCAATTATGATTCTAATGAAGAATCTAAAGAAGTTAATTCAGATTTATCTGAAGTAGAAAATAAAGAAGAAAGTGGTGAAACCTTAAATAATTCATTACAAAAAGTATCATATACATATCAGAGTTCTCAAATAGTTAGTTATAATAATATGAATATGTCAAACCAAACTGAAGGATTCTCAATCGATGAACCATTGACCAAACAGAATGCACTTAATATTTTAATACTAAATTCTACTTTTTCGGTTGAAGGAGAATGTATTAAAGGTGAAGAAAAAAAAGAAAATGATTTATGTATAAGATTTAGAAGTAAGCTAGGAACAAATATTTTATCAACTTTATGTGAATCATCAGGAAAAAATTTTTTAAGAAAATTTAATGGAGGTAATAATAATATTTTATTAAATAACGAATCATTGAATGAAATGATGGGAGGAATGTATAAATTAATTGAAAGTATTTTTGGTAATGATAAAATGTTTTCTCCATTTTTAAAGGATTTAAATGTTTTATCAAATTCAGGACAACTTGGATTTAATATGGATGAAATAGTAGGCCAAGCTTTAAATGGAAATTTAGGAGATGAAGAAAGTGAAACAGTTAATGAAGAAAATTCTTCTTCAAATAATGATGGTAATGATGAAAATACTGAAGTTCAAAATTAAAAAAGAGATGATATTTTATAAATAAAATAATTACTTTATAATATTATTATTTTGATGAATAGTTGTATGCCAATAAATAATTACAAAATAATTATAATAGAAAAACGATATAAATATTTAAAATTATTATAGATGATAATATAAGAAATAGAACATCATTATATGTATTATTAGTAAGGACACTGATTATATTATCATGCTTAAAGTATCAATTACTTTTTAACAGTTAAAAATATTTAACTTTATATATTAGGAGTTTCATACGTATTTATAATAATTAAATTAAAAAAATATGTAATATTTTTAAGAAATTTAAAATCTTTTATTTCATTTAAGCTATATTTTTTAAAGTACTTTTTTAACAAAAATTTTTTTTTAAAATGTATATTTATATTATTAATATATTTTTTTTTATATATAATAAAATTATTTAACAATTCAAAGTAATAAATTATAAGGTGTTTATTTTGAAATAATATATAGAGAATAAAAAAAAAATAGTGTATATTATTTTTATTGCAACAAAATTAGGGAGCAATAAAATGTGTAATAGGAGTGAAATATCCATATTTTTTTTTTTTTTTTTTTTTTTCTAATTTCATACTTATATTTATATTTTTATTATTGAACATGTAGCACAAATGTTATAATTAATATTTTTAACTACATACCAACTGTATCAGAAAAAAAAAAATAGTTTGTGGAACTTTAATAAAAAGATTTGAAAATAAAAAAAATTAATATAAATAGAAGTAATATTTATTTTCTTCTTGTAAAACATATTTTGATAATTAAATTTAGCTTTAACAAAAATAATTATAAATATAGGCATTTTGTAATAAAAAAAAATTGGAGAATTATTTTCTTTTCTATTAAAAGTTTTAATGTATCAATAACTAAAAATGTTTTACAGCTTTTTTTTGTTTTATATATGTTCACTTTCATTTGTGTTATTTATTTTTATCACTAATTATTTTTAATTTTATTTGTTTTTCTCTAAAAATGCTATTATTTTCTTCAAATACTTAAACAAAAAAATATACTTTTTTCAATATGAATTAATATAATAATATGTGTGCATATAAAATGTAATAACTTATGAATAAAAAATATTAATTTCAAAAAATTTGAATTATTGCTAATTTTCTTAAAAATGTATATAATATAAAATTTATAAGAATCGGAATACTAGTAAAACTTTGCATAAGTTTCTTAAGAAAAGCAATAAAAGATAACAATTATAACATAATATTATGAAGTACTTTTTTAATCTAAAAAAAATGCTTTTTTTTTAAATTCCCATATTATTATTAATTTTAATAAAAAAAAATTTTCTATAAGAAAAAACTATTAATTAAAAATTGTAAGAAGCATATATTTAAATTGCATACAATTAAATCTACTTTTCAAATTTCTAATCTTACAAAAATGTATGTAATAAAATGTTTTACAATAAATTTACTGAAAATAGTTGAACAAAAAAAAAAAAAAAATAAATAAGAGATACTCTTTAAATTTCAAAAAAAAAAAAAAAAAAAATACACAAAAATTATAAAATAGATAAAAAAATATAACAAAAATAGCACGTTTAAACACATTAAACTTACATAAATATTTACAATTTTTTTTATGAGATGTATAGGTATAGATATTTTCAATATGTTTTATTAAATAAAATGTGCTTGTAAGTGTAAAAAAAAATTTTTAATTATTTTAAAATATTTAAATTTATAACATTAAAATAAAAAAATAAATAAATAAATAAATAAAAAAAAGAAGAAAAAATAAATAAATTAAAATGAAAATAAAGATAAAGTAAAAATACCACGTTTAAAATAAAATATTTCTTTTTTTTGTTTTATGGATGCAAAAAAAAAAAAAAAAAAAAAATACATAATTGGAAAAAAATTTCACTTTAATACTAAGATAGAAAAAAGAAGTGAATAAATTACAAAATATTTAATACATAATTTATAATATTCAGAAATATTAAATAATAAAATTATCATTATATAAACATAAAAATAAACATAATGGAAAAGGATAATAAAGAAGAAAATTATGAACTCAATAAGGATTGCTATCCAAACTTTTATTTGGCTGATTTATTTTATAATTTACAATTATCACATATATCAATAAATGAGAGAAATGAAACTTTACAAAAGTTGTTAGATGAAATAGAAAAAAATAATATGTATCCGTATTATAGTTATATTTGCGAAGAATTAAATTTAAATATAGATCAAGATTTATATAAAAAGTTAAAAGATAAAGCTGATGAAGAAATGAATGAAATAGAAAAAAAAATATTAGAGTCTTCTGAAAATTTTGATTCTGTTGAAACAAAAAATGATCTTCTAATAAAAGCAAATTTTTTTTGTAAAATTGGAGATAAGGTAAGGATATGAATAAAAATAGTAAAAAAACTGTTATTATATAATTACTAATTTATTTTTTATATAAAAAAAAAAAAAATAATAATAATAATAATAATGAGATTGAAACCATTTATATATAAAATCAAATAATATAGGAACTTTATATATATATATTAATATATAATTTTATAATCATTGTTATATTTTTATAATTATGTAGTATAATATTTTATGTACGTATTATATACAAAAATATTGTATTAAAATATTATTTTTTATTTTTTTTATTGAAAGGAAAATTCATTTAAAGAATATGAAGAAGCATATAAAAAAGGAATAGGTATTGGAGTAAAATTAGATATTTTACTTACCATGATAAGAATTAGTATCTTTTTTAATGATCTAAAAAATACAAAAAAATATTTAGAGCAAGCTAAAACACAAATGGAAAAAGGTGGTGATTGGGAAAGAAAAAATAAACTAAAAATTTATGAAGCTTTAAATTATATTATGATTAGAAACTTTTCAGAAGCATCTAAAATTTTAATAGATGCAGCCTCAACTTTTACAGCTACTGAAATTCTATCATATGACCAGCTCATATTTTATGTTGTTATCCTTAGCATAGTAACAAAATAAAAAACAAATTTTTTTTAAATGTGATTTTTTATTTATTATAAATGCCTTTTTTTTTTTCTTTTTGAATATGATGCATTATATATACATCCTTTAAAATATTTACAATGTGTTATGTTATATATATTCCACTTTTAAAAAATAATTTTTTTTTTTTTTTTTTTTTTTGTTTATTTTTCATTTATAGATGACTGAAGAAAGAACAGTATTGAATAAAAAAATTTTAAATAATTCCGTAATTTTGCAAGTAACAAGTAGTGATGATGATTTGCAGAGTTATATTTCATCTTTTTATCATTGCGATTATAGAACATTCATGGAAAAAATAATAAAAATAGCTATACGTGTTAAGAGAGATAAATATATAGGTAGACATTATAGATATTTTATTAGAAATACTAGAGTAAGAGCATATAAGCAATTTTTAGAGCCATTTAAAAATGTTACTCTTAAAAACATGGCTTACGCTTTTGGAGTTAGTGAAGAATTTATTGAAAGTGAAGTATCATCATTTATCGCTAATGGAAAACTAAATTGTAAAATAGATAAAGTTAATGGATCTATTGAAAGCAATCAACCTAATGAAAGAAATACAATGTATTTGAATACAATTAAAAAGGTATTAGTGAAAAAAAATAAATTGAATTTTTATATTAGTATATATATTTATAAAGCTCATGTTAATATAAATAAGTATATATATATATGTGTGACATATTTATTTATTTTATTTTTTTTTTTTATAGGGAGATATTTTGCTTAATAGGATACAAAAATTATCTAGAGTTATCGATATGTAAAATTATTTCAATAATTACTCAATTATTTTTTATTATATTTCTTCTCTTTTTTTTTCTTTTTTTTTTTTTTTTTAAATACCAATTCTTTAGATTTTTATTTTTATATTTACAAAATATAAGTTTAACTATTCTAATTTTGTTATTATTAAAATTTTTTGATAATCTGATTTATCATCAAGTATTTAATTGTTTTTTTTTTTTTTTTTTTTATTTAAAGGATATATTTTTTTCTTTTTACAAAACAAAAAACAAAAATATTTAGTTAATTAAAAAAGGAAAATATTAAAACAACAGTCTTATATAAAAGCATAATGAAAGAATAAATAAGATATTGAATTGGGGAATCAAAAAAAAATACAAAAAAATTAAATAAAAATAAATATATATAACAGAAATATTAAAATAATAATAAAAGTCAAAAAAAAAAAAGTTAATAAAAAGATAAGAATAAAAACTAAAAATAAATGTACGGTGAAACAAAAAAAGCATTTATTTTTTGTTAAGAAAATTTACTGAATTAAATAAATAAATGAAAAATGTAAGAATAATCACATATTAATTCTTTTTGAACAAGCATTTGCAATATATTGTAAATAAACAGTCTTTAGCAAGTACATATCTTTATAAAGATTAAAATGAAATTTATGAATATTAATTGTACTAAATGGGTGCAATCTAAGTGGTTTAAAAATAATTTGTAGAATTCTATTTTCTGAATCAGAATTTAAAATAGAAGAATGATATTCATTTTCAAATATATGTAAAAAGCATTTTATATTATTTAATGAATATTTTATGATCATTTTATTTGTTAGTTTAAATAGTTTCAAACTCATTTCATAATTAACTAGTGTATCTTTTTTACCATGTATGAAATCAATTGTTAAATTTTGAAAAATCTCAGTTAAATATTTATTTTTCTTGAAATCATTAATTATTTTAAAAAATTCTTTTAACACTATCATATTGTCCCAATGAACATATGAACATTTTTTATTCATAACAAAAGAACTTAACAAATAAAAAATACTATTTTTTAAGACACTTTTTACCAATTTTTGTGTGTTAGTAAATGGTGCAACTAATACAACCTTATTAATTGTTATTTTCAGTTCATTTTTCAATATATTTTCTTTTAATTTTTTTTTGCTTTTTACAATGCTTAATATTTCATTAATTGTAATTGTTTTAATAGGATTATTGTTATTCAGTTCATTTTTCATTTTTGTATCTAGCTTTTTACAATAGCTATTATCAATATATTTTTTACGAATAATATTGTTTTCACTACTGTAAAACGAACAGTTATTTATATCAAACCATTTATCACTATTTCTAATATATGATATATTATCAAAAACGTTATTTTTGTGTATATTTTCTAATTTTATTTTTTCTTTTTCCTTGCCATTCTTCCTTTTTATGAACTGTTCATGTAAAATTTTGTCTGAATTAATTTTATCAATAAAAATATCTTGAAAAGTCAGTATTTTTTTTTCATCATACACATACTCATTAATTTTTTGGTTGTTTTGATTTAATTTTATGTATAGATTACCTTCATTTTTTACTTCTTTAATTGGTTCAGATTCCTTTTTTTCAAAAGGAGTTTTATTTGCATCCTCAAAAAAATCATTGTATAAACTTTTTGCTATATCTAGTAACAATTGTAAGCTTACACTACACCCTAAAGAATAACCAAATATATTTATGCATATGTTTTTATTTCCGTTTGTTTTTTTAATTTCTTTTATTGCTTCTTTTAATGCAGCTAATGCACTTGTTTTAAATGTAAGAGGAGAAGGATGTCCTATGCTATTATTGTAAGCTGGGTAATCTAATAATAAAAAAGAATATTTTACTTTTTGTGTTTTTTTTTTGTTTTTAAATATAAGTGGACCATATATATCAGTGTAATTCAATTTATCATTTCTGAAATTTTTTTTTCTTTTTTCAAAAGAAGGATTCCTGCCTTGCATATGATAAGATATAAAATTGAATAATTCATCATCTGTACTTAAATTACTAGATTCGTCACTTTTTTCTATAAAAAAATCATAGGATTCCCCTTCGTTTTCACCTACATTTTTCTCACAAGGAAAATTATTTAAATTATCAAGACAATCATTAAGTGTAACACTATTAGAACATGAAATATTTTTATTTTTTTTAAAATATTCACAAAATAAATTCTCTTCATTACTAGTACTATAGCTTATTTCTGAAGATTTTAAATATTTCCTATTTTTATCTATATAAATATTTTTTTTCCTTTCTTTTTCATTCCTTTCTTTCTTTTCTTCATTTTCTTCCTTTTCTTTTTCTTTTTCTTTTTCTTCTTTTTCTTTTTCTTTTTTTATTTCTTTTTTTTTCTTTTTTTTTCTTTTAATTTCTTCATAATACATATCTAAAAATTCATTATAATTATTTGGACCGAATACTACATAATTATTATTATATTCATTATAATAAGCTACTATCCTATTATATATATCCATAGAAGTATTATATAAATTTTTGTTACAAAATATTTCTTTAGGTAATTCAGGTAATTCTCTTCTATGAGATAAATTTTTTTTATTTATATGTTTATATGAACTTTTCTTATTATTAGGTATATTCTTTCTTATATCACTATTAAGAAAGTTACATTGTTGATATCTATTTTGAGGAGTTTTTTCCATTTTTATATCAACATATCTTTTGATATCTATCTTCTTGTTAACAACAAATTTTCCATCTGCACATAAATTATCATTTGAATTATCTTTTTGATTTTTTTTTATCTTAACTCTTTTCAATTTTCTTACATATTTTTCGTATTCTACTGGTGGTATTTCTGTTGCATATCTTAAAATTTTATAAACAATATTTAAAGAGTCCATTGATTTCATATCTTTACCACCAAAAACAATCCATAGATATATAGGTATTTCAACATCTTCTTTATCCAGATTTTTTTTTATTTTTTTAGTATTTTTATCTCTAATTTTATTAAATATTGAATCATACAATTTTGAGTTAATGAAGTTTCTTATTTTGAAATTGTTTATGTCTACTGAGTTTGTTTTATTTATAGAATCATATTTTTCTTTATAATCCGAAATACTATTTAATTTATTATTGAGTAGATTTTTTCTTATAGAATTATTCTTTATATCTACAAATTCTTTTATATTGTCTTCTTTCATATATTCCCTCGAACTATTTATAATCTTTGTCTTATCTATTATATTAATATCTTTATTTTCATTTTTATTAGGTACTACAAGTTTATTTTTTAAACTATTTTCCTTTAAATGCTTAATTGAATTATTTAAGTAATTATAATAATATTCAAAAAGAAAAAATATATTTTCACATATATATGGAAAAATAGGTTCAATTTTACTATTCGCAAATGTCATATATACATACGGGGCATTATACAATAAACTATCAAGAAAAACAACTTTTTTGTATTGAGTATCGGATAATAAGTTGTTATTCATACTTTCATTTTTTTCATTATAATATATATTATTTTTATCTATTTTTACTTTATTTCTTTTTATTTCTTTCTCTACTTCTAATTCGTTTTTTTCTCTTATATTGTTTTCTAAAAAAGAACTAACATGCTCCTTTTTTCTTTCCTTTCCATTATCATCTATGATACTTTCTAAATTATTTTTATTTTGATTGATTTCATTATATATTGAAGTATAAATTTTAGCATCCTTGTTACTACTGTGATAATTTTTTAAAGGAATATATAAATTCTTTTTGGTTGAACAAAAAGAATCATACATATCTATATAATCACTATTTGATAACATTTTTATAGAAGAATTAGATTCATTCTTTATTTTTAAAAAATTCCACGAACCTTTATTTATAAAAGAATTATCACTTGTTATTTTTTGTATTCTTAATGAATTTTCTACTTCATGAACATTTATTGGTGGTATTAAATAGGCATTGTATATATAAGGGTAATTAAAATGTTCTGTATTTTTATCAATTATTACTATATCCTTCACTTGATTAATCATTAATTCAAAATTTAGACGCATTATTAAATAATTATAAAGAGTTTCTTTGTTATTAGTGTTGTTATAAAAAAATAACTCATACCATGTGTTTTTATATTTAAAAAGGTTTATATCTTCACTTTCTATTTTTAATGCTGGTATCTCAATACTTCTATTCAGTTTACATTTATAATTCTCTAGTTCTCCTAAATGTACTGGGTTTTGAGGCAAACTCAAAATTTCTCTTTGTGTTATTTTTATATTACTTACATTTGATATAACATTTTTGTATCTTTTTTCATTTGTATATATTTTTAAATCTTTTACATAAATATTATCATTATCTACAAATAATTTTGCTATTCTATTCTTTTTTAAATTTTTCATTTTTTTTTTTATTTTTAATTCATTAAGGTGATATATATCCTGTATTGAATTAAAATATTCACTTTTTTCTTTATGTAAAGAATCTTTAGAATATTTTATTTCATTACTATTTAAATATTCTTCTTTATTTTTTTTATTTTCAACATCTTTTCTAAAATATAAAAACTTTTCTATTATTGATTGTTTTGAGTAAAAACTATTTTTTTTTATGAACTCACAAGTAGCCTTATTTTTATTTTTCAAATAATTTTTGTAAATTCTATTATATATAATTTTCTTTTTATTATCCTTGTTATAACTTAAGAAATTATCATCTTTTTTTTCTTTTTTTTTTTCTACGAAATTATAATTTATTAATTCATCTTCTCTTTCTTCATTTTTGCTTTTTTTTACACATTTTAAATTATATATATCTGCTAAAAAATTATTTTCTTTTTTATTATTTCTCTTATCTAATTTTATAAATTTGATGGTAGGACTTTTTACATTTATCAATTCTTCTTTTGTAACATTTTTGTCATTTTTCATTGGGAAGTTATCCGTTGTTTTCTTCATTATATCATTCATTTCTTTGTTTTTTATTCGTTCAATATCAACAGGAATTTTATATTTTAACATATTTTTGTTAATCCTTTCTTTGGGAAGTTCACTCATAGTTATATCATGATAATCTTCATTATCATAAAAGGAAAAATTGTTATTCTCACTATATGAAATGCATCTACTATTATTAATGTTTATTTCATTTTTATTACTTGTATATTTTTTGTATCTATCGCTTTTTTTATGGAAATTTTTATATGATGATTCTTCTCTTAATTGATTATTATCATCTTTAGTAGAATTAGTTTCTATATTTTCCATACTATCTTTAAAATGCTTATTTACAGATGAAGGTTTTATTTGTTCATGAGAGCATAATTCTATGAATTTATAACTTGAATTCTTAATTATACGAATATTTTTTAAATCATTTTCACTGTTATATTTTGTGTCTATTTGATCATATTCACCTTCTCTTAATGCATTTTTATAATCATTACTAGTAATATTTTCGTAGACTTCTTTTATCGTATCAAATTGAATAATTTCGTCGATTGAATCATCATTTTTTTTTAAATTATGTGTGATTAATTTTTTTGTATTATTTAATTCATTAATAAATATATTATTTTCATTATTATTAAATATAAATCCTTCAGTTTCTTTTTTTATTTGCTTTCCTTTGTTTATTTTCATAATATATTTATTTTCTTCATATGAATTTTTTTTTTTTGTTTTATATACATTTTCTTCATTTAAATATACTTTACTTTTTCCATTTATTTTTTCTCTTGTTTCTTTTCTTTTGGTTACATTAGAATCTATAGTACTTTTCGATAAATTTTGTTTTCCTTTTAGTGGCATTGCAATGTCATATTTTTTTTTATTTTTATGGTTACAATAAATAGGAAAGTTATTGAAATTTTCCTGAAAATAAAATGGTGATATATATATATCTTTTGATGAACAGTTTTCCTTTTTTAACATTTTACAAGAAAAATAACAAGAATTTTCAACACATAAATTTGTCTTTTTTTTTTTCTCTTTTGTCATTGGTGAAGTTAAAAAAGAAAGATACTGTCTACTTTTTATTTCTTTTTTCTTTTCTTCTGTTACATTTTTATCGTAATTGTCAATATATTTATTTATATAAATGTTCATTTTTTTACTATTATTCATACTGTTGTCAATATCACTAAAGTTACATTTTTTTATATTATCTTTATCTACATTTAAATTATTTGTTTCATTGAAGTTTAAGTTGCATACACACTTTTTGTTTATATTTAATAAATTTTCATTTACTGACAATTTATTCATTTTTTTTTTTTTTTTTTTTTTAATGAATTTAAAATTAATTAAATTAATTGATGAAATCTTATTCTTTGCCAAATAATATTTATTCAAGAATAGGTTTTTATGTCCACATTTATTTTTATTATATTTTTTTTTGACCCTTAAACGGTCAATAATTTTTTTTAAATTGTACTGTATATAATTTACATTCCATTTCTTTTTTTTTTTATTTGCATTTTTTTCTTCTATAATATTAATGTATTCTATTTGTGAATTTCTTTTATCTTTTTCAGATATTTCTTCAGGAACTTTTTCAAAAAATATTATGGAATGAATAACATTCTTCATTGATTTAGTTTTGTCTGATAAATTACAAAAAGAAATTGCTTTATATGAAAAATATATTTTTTTTTTTTTAAGGAAATTTTTTTACTGATATTCTTATAAATCTTCAAGTTTCCATTTTCCATATATTTTTCTTTAAGGAACTTTCAAATAATTTTTTTTTTTCTTTTTTTTTTTTCTTTAATTGTTATGTTGTTACTTTTTCCATTTAAAATTTTATCTGTTTTATCTATATTTTCAAAGATTAACTTTTTTTTGAGCTAAGTTGAACGAAGGGTGTGTCCTTCATATAATGCATTATTTAATGGATATGAATTATTATTATACAAGATATTATATTTTGTAAAATTAATATTTACATAATCTTTTTTCTCTTCGTTAATAGATTTTTTATCATTAATTTTTTTATTTTTTTTCGTTGATATTATAGATATTCATGTAATTTTCTTTTGTTTTATTTATACTTTTGATTTTTTTAAAGAAGTATTTCGTTTTCTGTATTTTCACTTTCAAGTATAAAATTGGAAAAGATAAATAAATCACATAAAAAGTAATTAGTTGGTCAAAATAATTCTGTTTTTAAGTTTAGGAATTTTTTTTTTTTTTGAGTTTTTTATATGTTATTTTTAATTGTTTCATTCTTCTTTGTTTTACTTAGTCTATTTTCCAAAATTTTTTATTTAAAATTTTTTTTTAACCAAATTATATATTCAAATATATCTGTAGAATCAAAGAACATATTTGAACAGCAAAATATAGTGGATGAATAGGACAATATTATTTTTAAAAGAGTTTCGCATATATTATTTTTAGAATACAAGTTTTTTTTTTTTTTTTTTTTTTTTACCAAATTCATACATATATTTGCACCTCCTCCGCATAATAAATTATGTGTAATAGATTATTCTTTCAAAGTGATACTATTATATATATAATTTATAATTATTCTTTTATGGAATATATATAACATTGAAATTGTGTTAAAAAGGAAGCTGCACATTTTATTTTTTTTGGATTCATTAACAAATTAATAAATATTTAAATAAAATATATTTTACAATTAATTTAAAAAAATTTAACTAGATGCAAATTAAAACATTTTTTTTATTCTTCATTTTTTTTCGTTTATTTTATTTTTGTTATATTTATTTTTCTTTATGATACAGATGTATTAAATTTTAACATTTAATATGTCATGAAAATATTTTAAAGGAGATATTAATATTCAAAACTACTTAATTTTTTTGTTAGTAGTTAAATATCTTATTTTTTAATAGCTGCCATAACAATTATCTAATAAATAAAAATATAAGAATATTAAATAATATTAAAGGAAAAAAAAACTTAGAAATATATATTATTTTTTATGAACCTTTTAATATTTAAAAAAAAAAAAAAAAAGTAATTTTATTTTATTACCTGTTATTCTTTATAATATTTTTTTTAAACCTTTAACTATTAAAAAAGTTATATTCTTTGTAACGTAAAATGTTTACTAAAAGAAAAATTATATTTAGAATAATTCTGAAGAACTTTTTAACTTTATTTGAATTATCACGTAATTATAATTTTTTGTTTTAAATATAACAAGAAAATTTAAGCTACTTATGCATATAAAACACTTTAAGAGTTGAAAAAAAAAAAAAAAAAAAAAAACAAACAAACAAACAAACAAGTTTTTCTAAATTTAGAAATATTCAATTTAAAAATATATTTTGTAAAATTTAACAAGAAATGAAAATGTTATGTAGAAAGTTTGAAGATAAAAAATTATACAAAATTTAAATATTAAAATTTAAAAAGGTATAATACATAAATATGCAGAAAACATATTTTCTTTTATCAAATGAACATTTTTTTCATTTACTTAATGAAAATGTAATTTTTTTCATATCTACTAATATAAATAAGAAATTTTGTTACTTTAAAGATATATATATTTTAATGTGTTTTTTTTTTTTTTTTTTTTTGGAGAAAAGTTGTATTTTATCGACTTTTATAATAACCTTTGTGAGATTTAATTTTTTTTTTTTTATCTCTCTTCAATTCTCATTCTTTTTGTTTAGTCTTTTTTTGTTGTTTTTAATAAATTTTTTTTGAATTTTTTTATTCTTAACACTTAAATTACTTTTTGTGTTATCAATTTTTTTATTTTCTTTTTTTGATTCTGTCTGTTTCGATTCATTTAATAAAACCTTTTTGTTTTTACTTTTAATATTTTTATTATAAGTTTTATTTTTTAGTTTTTTTTTTTCCTTTTCTTTAAAGATGTTTTCTTTATTTCCTTTATCACTTGGATTACTATTTTTTATGTTTTTTTTAAATTTTAGTTTATTTGAATGTTTTTCTTTTTTTTTGTTGTGAAAATGAATATTCTTTTTTACTTTTTTATTATTATTTAATTTATTATCATTATTTACTTTTGTGTTTTTGTTATAAAATGTACTATTTTCTTTTAAATTGCTAATATCATTATTTTTGTTGTATTTTTGGGTATTTTTCACTTCTTTTTTTTTTGAATCTTTTTCTTTTTTAGTTATAATGGACTTATTCTTGTCAAATATTGCATCTGATCTTTTAATTAATTTTGCAACAAAAAAATTATCATGGTTATGTTTATGTAAATAAATTCTTTTGCATAAAGAAATTTTACTTGAAAATTGTTTTTTCTTATAATGAGTTATGCCAGGATCTCCAATATTAATATTTAATGGTAATAAATTAACATCTCTTTTTTTTAAGATATAATTTATAACTTGCTCATTTTCTTCAACAGTAATACTACATGTAGAGTAAACAAGAATACCCCCGTTTTTTAAAAGATTAATTGCATTATTTAAAAGCTTTCTTTGTTTTTGAGCTAATTCTCTTATTTCTTTTATTGTTTTTCTTCTTGCACCCTTATTTTTATTAACTACACCTGTACCACTACAAGGAGCATCTAACAAAATTTTATCAAATTGAAAAGTAAGATGCTTATGAATTTTCAGTGCATCTATGCATGTTACTATTAAATTATTTATTCCCATTCTTGATGCTTGTGCTTCTATAGATTTACATCTAAATTTATTTATATCATTTGCATATACAATTCCTTTATTTTTTTTTATTGCACACATAAATGTACATTTTCCTCCAGGTGCTGCACATAAATCTAATGCTAAATCATTTTCTTGAATATTTAATTCTAAAACTGGAATAAAAGAAGAAGATGATTGAATCATATAATAACCATATAAATATTCGTTTAATGATCCAACATTGGAATTTATATCATTTACAACGATACCTACATTGTTCCATTTATCCCCTTCTTCAACTGAAATATTTTGACTTTTTAAAATTTTCATTAGATTATTTCTAGTTATTTTTAAAGTATTTGTTCTTAAATGTATTTCTTTTGGAATATTATTTAACTCAAGAAATAGATACAATTCTTTTACATCAAATAAATAATTTAAATATTTTATCATTTCTTTTGAGTATTCATAATAATATGAATAATAAAAAAGCAATTCTTTTATTACTTGAGACTTTTCAAATTTTACATTACTTTTTTTTGCATTACTTAATAATAATAATAAATATTTCATTCGATCTTCTATATCTTCATTTTTCATAACTTTATTATTTTTATATATTCCTATTTCATCATAATATATGTTTTCTTTTTTATTTATGTATTTTTTTTTCATCCTTCTTTTTAAACCTATAATATTTAGATCTATGCTTTTCTCTTTATTTTTAATTTCATCCATTTCATTTTCTTCTTTAAAAGAAGCTTCACTTGCTTGTTCCTTTTCTTCCTTTGCTGTTTTCAGAATATTTCCTCTTTCATCATCATCATCACTCATGTAATTATTATTCAAGTCATTATCTGTTAAATTATCACTTATAGCATCATCATAATTTATATCTTCATCATTGTATAATTCATTTTCATCCTCTGTTTCATTATCCTCTATTGAAACATATTCATCTTCACTTTTATTTATTTCAAAGTTGTCATTTTCAAAAAGAGAAAATGTTTGATTTAGATTATCTTCATTAATTTTCAAGTTAGCATTTAATTTATTATTATTTTCACTATTTGAATTATTCATTGAATATAAAAATTAGCTATAGAAAAAAAAAAAATATTGTTAATAAAAATGAAATTATTAATTTTTTCCTTATTTTAAACTTATAAGTATACTTTGTATTTAATTTTTTTTTTTTTTTATATTTTAAAAAGAAAATTTAAATTTAAGAAAAAATTTTCATCATAAATTTTATTAAAAATAAACTAAAAGGAATTTTAAAAATGTTGAAAAAAAAAAAAAAAAAATATATGTAATCATTATTACATGCTATAATTAAAAAAGCTGTAATAATGGAATTTTAATACAAAAAGTAGATAATTAAAATAAAAAAAAACCTTAAAAAAAAAAAAAATGAAAAAGAAGATAAAGATTATATTATGTATATTAAAAATATAAAATATTGAAAAAAAATATAAAAAAAGGAAAATTTAAAATTATAAAGATATAAATTTAAAATAAAAATATGTATATTATGAAATTATAAATATATAGATACAAATTGATTGAAATATAATTAGTGTAATAAAAAGAGAAAAAAAGATAATAAATATAAAAATGAAAAAATCTCCTCGTTTTCTGCTGTTATATTTGGACAACTCGATTAAATATGTAAATAAAATGTATTCAAATATATTTATCCCAGTAAAGACTTATTAGAATCTTTTCTTATTTTTTTATTTTTTATTAAATTCTCCTAAAAAAATTTAAACTATGAAGAGAAATAAAATTATAAGGACTTTTAATTTTATTTGGATTAATTTTGATTAATAATATATATATATATATATATATATATATATATATATATATATATATATATATATATATATATATTAAAAAATAAAAAAGGTATTTAACTTTTTTTATAATATAAGAATTATAAAATAGAATCTAAATAACAATTTTCATCATGAATTTTTTTTTTTTGAAAAATAATAAAAAAAAAATTTTGAATCACAAATAAAATTATGAATAATTTTTTTATAGTTCCTTGACATTTATTATAAATTAGTTAACTGTTTACATGAAAACAAATATATAAAAATATTTTTTTTTTTTTTGTTAAAAATGAATAAGGAATACTCTAAAAAAAGCGACAAAAACAAAAAGGAAAATGAAGAATTTATCCTAAAAGAAGAGAATGAAAATTCTTATTCAGATTACCATTATAATTTTTTACGAAAAAATAGTAATCAATTAAAAAAAAATTTATTAGAATGGTACTACAAATACAGGCGTAGGCTACCATGGAGAAATGATAGCCCGCCTTATACAACAAGTGTTCAGTTAAATGAATGTAAAAATGAAAATAATATTTTGAATTATTTTGTTAAAAATGTTAAACAAGAATGTACTATGGAAAAAATCAATGTAAAAGAGAAGACCTATAATAATAAGAATGATACAAAATTTTTAGGAACCAAAAAAGAGCAGGATGATATGGTTTCTCAAAAATTGAAAAAAAGAAAAAAAGAAAATGTATGTGAAGACAATGAAAATATATATAATTTAATATCGAATGGTGACACTTTTGATATGAAAAAAAATGAAATTACATCAATCATTAATAAGACTAAAAATGAAAATGTTGATAATGTTTTGTTAGATAAAAATGATTTAAGTTTAAAAGGATATAAAATTTATATAAGTGAAATAATGCTACAACAAACAAAGGTGCATACTGTTTTGAATTTTTATTTAAAATGGATGAAAAAATGGAACAATATTTTTGAGTTATCAAAAAGTAATTTGGATGATGTATTAATAGTTTGGAAAGGATTAGGTTATTATAATAGAGCAAAAAATTTATTAGAATGTTGTAAAACTGTAGTAGAAAAATACAATGGTATATTTCCAAATGATTTAAAATTACTAAAAGAATTACCTGGTATTGGTAATTATACATCTAAAGCAATATGCATTCATTTATATAATAGAAAAGATATATGTATTGATACAAACATTATAAGAATTTTTTCTAGAATTACTGATACAATAAATTATTACAATTCTACCATTTTGTCGAAACATTGTGAACAAGTCAGCCATATTTTATGTTCAGATGAATTCAATTATTCTGACTTAAGTCAGGCATTAATGGATTTAGGATCTAGTATTTGTAATAATTCTCCTCAATGTAATATTTGTCCTATAAATAAAAATTGCCTTATTTATTTAAAAAAAAATAAGAAAACAAATAATTTATTTAATTTAGAGCACTCAAATGAATGTGAATTATGCATTAAAGAAAGAAATGTAGAAATAAGAAATGTTCCTCTAGTTAAAAAAAAAAAAAAAACAGATAAAATATGTCTAGTTTTGTTAATAAAAAAAAAAAAAGAAGGAATTAAGAACAAAATAAATGACAATAAATTAAATGACATTGACAATAATTTTTCGGATGATCATTATTTGATGATAAAAAATAAGGACTCTAATTTATTTTCAATGCATTATTTATTCCCTTTTGTACTTCTTGATAAATATGATAAAAAAATATTACATTTGGTAAAATTACATGAAGCAAATCAATATTAAAAAAAACACAAAATAATCTTTTATATTTTAACTGTTTTTACATAAAATAAACATATATATAAAATTAAATTGATTAATTTTATTATTTATTTTATATTAAGAAAAAATTTAATTTTTTTTTTTTTTTTTTTTTAATGTCTCTTAATTACATATTCATAAAAATTAAATTTTTTCAATTTTTGCAGCATTTAAATAGTTTGTTAAAGAATTTAAATTTAAGTAATGATCAGAAAGATTCTTTTTTATATGTAATTTCCAAAATCATTTGTTTTTATATTATTGTTACATATGCTATGAATTTATCTGCATACCTTTATGATATGTATTTTAATGATTTTTATTAAAATTTTTTTTTATGTAGGTAAGTAATTTTAAGCATAAATTTTCTCATCTTACATATGACACATATATTTATTTATGTTCTATTTTGGAATATGTAAGAACAACTCTTAATGTTTTTTTTTTTTTTTTGTTACATATTTTCTTTTTATATATATTAATTATTAATTTAATATATTTTTTTGTAGAAAAATATGGTAATGAATGAAGAAGAATATATATGGATAAAATTAAAAGACATTAAGGTATTTTTTTTTTTCTTTATTTATATATTTTTTCATGAATTTTAATTATTATTTTTTTATATTTTTTTACTTATTAGTATTTATATTAAATGATATAATTTGATAGAAAAAAAAAAAATTATAATTATTATATAAATCAACATTCTTATTCTTTTCAGGATTTTACTCACAATACATTTTGTCAACATATTATAGATTATTATAAAATAAGCATGAATGAAAAAAAAATTTCTTTTAATCGTAGATTTAAGGATTAGATGGAGAATAACTAATTATGGAAAATTTTTTTTTTAACCTCCTTTATTAAAAATTAAAAATTTAAGAAACATAAATTTCACAAATTTATATAATTATGTACTAATTTGATTATAATTTTATGTTAGAATAAATGATATAACAATTTATTATATTTTTATTAATTAGCACTTATATTGTAATCTTATAAGTGTGTAAAAATTAATATAAAAAATTTTTTTTTTATATTTAAAGTTACCTTTCAAGGTATACTTAAGACTTTAAAAAATAAAAAAAAGAAAAAAAAATTTTTTTTTTTAATGGACTAAAAAATACTATTAAAAATATTTCTTGAATGCTCATGATTTTTTTTTTCGTTTCTTGTTCTTAAAAAAAAAATTTCCATTTTTATATACTTAGTAATAAGCATACATATATATATATATATATGTATAAAACTTTTATTAAAAAATTTTGAACTTAATGAAAAATTGTATAAATTAAAATTTATTTTTTTATTTTATACAATAATAAGAATTAATTTTTCTTTTTAGACACAAAAAATTAAAAGTTTAAACTTTGATTATGTAATAATTACTGTATTATTTATCAAATAAAAAAAAAAAAAAAAAAAAAAAAATATAAATAAGTAAATAGAAAGTAAGCAGTATATTAATTATACAATGTTAAAGTTCCTATTTTCATTTGAAATTTTATGAAAAAACGCATATGTTAACATTTACAGATGTTCTTTTTTTCAATTAGTGTTGCAAAAAAAAAAAAAGAAAATTTTACCAATGAAAATTTTTATAAAAAGTTAAGATATTTAAAATTAAAAGTAAAAATAAAATTTTAATATGGGAAATAAATGTAGCTGTGGGGAAGTAAGTAATGACAAATTAAAAATATTAAATAGTAGAGATGATATAACACTAAATGATTTTAACTTGGATTTAAAAGAATTTGAAACACATTTATATGAAAATGATGAAGAAAATTACTTTTATCGCTTTGAAAATAAAAAATTGAATAAAAACATATATACAAAAAATGAAGAAGGAGAAAAAGTAAATGAAGATGAAGAAAAAAATTGTATTATAAATGTTAGAAGAATATTAATGTATATTAAAGAACATGAGAAAGATTTTTTGATGTTTTTTAAAGAAATAAATGCAACAAGTTTGATTTTTTTAAAATATTTAATTATGAATTATACTGCACATATAATATATATTGATACAGATGTTATATATATAGGTGAAGTTAACGAAAAAAATGAGAAAAACGGAGTGGGTACAATAATAACACCAGATCAATGCATATATATAGGAGAATTTGAAAAAGATAAAATAACAGGTTTTGGGTTATATATTCATTTTTCAAGAAGCAAATATATTGGTTATTGGAAGAATGGAAAGGCAAATAATTATGGAGTTTTTATACATCCTGATGGTACATTTTATAAGGGATTATGGTTAAATGATAAACAAAGTAAAAAAGGAATTGAATATGTAAATAATAATTATGTATTTTTAGGAAATTATGAAGAAGGAGAGAAGAATGGTTTTGGTGCTTTTATATGGAATAATGAATCTATGTATATTGGTAATATAAAAAATAATTCTTTTTTTAAAAGAGGTATTTATTTTTTTAATAGAAGTAAAATTTACATTGGGAAATGGAGGTATAACTGCATTCAAGGAGAATGTGAAATATTTTGGTTAGACAAACGACAATTTTTTGGTTTTCATAATAATAATTTAAAAGAAGGATTAGGTATTTACAAATGGAATGATGGTCGAATTTACTTCGGAAATTGGTCAAATAATAAACAGCATGGTTATGGCATATTTATTTTGATTAAACATTTAAAAGATTATGAGAAATATATAAACAACTCATTTATGCTTTTTTTTAAAAATACGCAAAAAATTAAAAAAGAATTTTTATTAAATCTTTTAAAAGAGTCTTTTTTTGACAAAGGAAGAAGTAAAAAAATACTTGAGGACGTTATAAAGAAGTGTAATAGTTATGATTTTTATAATTTCCTAGTTATCCTGTTAAATATAAGTTACTATGAGGTTTGTTCTAAATATTTTGATTTAATGAAAAAAAAAAGATTGAATAACTTTAAATTTAATTACAATTTTTATGAGAAAATAAAGTTTCATCTATGCTCCGCTACTAATGAATATATAAATAAGCAGGATCTTAATGAAAATATGAAATGTAGTAAAAAATATTCTTCTAATAAGAGAGATTTATCATCACACATTAATAGTAAGAAATTATTTGTGAATAATAACAACATTAAAGACAAAAATAATTATAACAAAATTATAAATAGGGTAGAAAAAAATGTAGAAAAAAAAATAAGTAAACAAATTCGAGAGGAAAACAACAAATATATTTCAATAGATAGTAATAATGATCTTATTAAAAATAAAAATTATAAAAGATATTCATTAAATAGTAATAATAATAATAATGATATAAATAAGTTTGATTTTTCATCTAGTAACAGTAATGAAGAGGTAAGCTTAGAAAATAATAAAGAAAAATATTTTAAAGATATTGAACTTTTATTATCATGTTTGAATTCAATTAATTTAAGTGATATGAATGAAAAGGATATAAGTTTATTCAATCCTCTATTTATATATGCTTCAAATAATATTATTCTTAAATATGGAAAATGGAAAAATGGAAAATTAAAAAAATGGATATATTCAAGTGGGGATTCTAAACATAGAACTAGAAGTATAAGTAATAAAATAAATAACGATCCTAATTTTTCAATAGAAAAAAAAAATACAACAGAATTATTTTATAATAATAATTATAATGTAATTAATAAATTTTTAAATAATTTATCATCTTCTGCTATTAGTAATATATATAAAGAAAAAAAAAAAAGAAAAAAAAAAAAATATAGTTTAGAAGAACCTAATAATAAAGAAGAAGATTATGATGGAGATATTGAGCAGGATGAACAAGGAGAGCGAAAAAAAAAAGAAGAAAGTGGAAACAAAAAAGATGAAAATGAAGAGGAAGAAGAGGAAGAAGGAGAGGAAGAGGAAGAGGAAGAAGGAGAGGAAGAGGAAGAGGAAGAAGGAGAGGAAGAGGAAGAGGAAGAGAAAGAGGAAGTTGAAGAAGATGAAGATAAAGAAAAAGTTGAAGATGATGAAGATAAAGAAAATACATATGAAAATAAAGATAAAAAAGATGATTTTAAAAGGGAAAAAGAGTTACAGAAAAATCATTTATCTTATATTTCTATAGGTAATAAAGATAACGATATACTGCTTCACGAAAAGGCTTTAATTCAACATAATAGGAATATTTTATCTGATAAAAGTGATATTAAAAAAAAAAAGAAAAAAGAAATTAAAAAATTAAATAACAGCAATTCAAATAATACTAATTACACTATTTCAACAAAAAACAACTCTACAAGTTCTTTTTCAAGCAAAAATATAAGTAGCATAAATTTATCATTTACAGAAAACAATAATGAAAAAATTAAATCTAATGAAGATAAGACTCATAGTAACATGAGAGATGATAACATTAACAATAAAAATGATTCATTTAATAATAATATCATTTCAAAAAATCAAAAATTTCTAGTTAAAAAAAATTATATAAATACTTTTAATGATGAAGATGAAATGTGCAATAATAAGGAAAATAATTACATTGTTAAAAGTATGTATAGCATAAAAAATAAGATCACCATAGAGAGTAAAAATTTAGATGAAGAAAAAAAAAATGGAAATATTTTTACTAAAAAAGGAATTAAATTATTGAAAGATACAGAACTTAAAGAAACTAATTCAAGTGAATATAATAAAACAATAAATGAAAAATTTCCAAAAAAAAATAAAAAAAAAAAAAAAGATAATAATGTGATTCCAATTAAATCACAAAATTATGATTTACCAAAAAAAGGATTTTCATTAATATGGAATCTCAAAAAGTTAAAAAATGCACCTTTTTCAACTAATGAAAATATAACATTTGAATCAGATAAGAATCATAAAGTTAAACAAAATAACCATTTATCAGAATCACAACAAAAGAAAAAATCATTTTTCAGAAAATTTTTAAAGGTAAACAAACACAAAAAAAAAAAAGAATAAAGTATAACGAGACAATTATATGATTGAAATAAATTATTTCAAATAAAAAAACTAATAGAAAATTTATAAAATATGTTGTGTAATTAAAATATTTTATTATAAATAATAAAAAAAAATAATATAAATACACAAGTATATTAATTTTAAGTTTTTGCAATTTATGAATCTAATTTACACTGCTAGAATAAATCTAGTTTGTAACGAGAAATTGAATTTTTTTAAAATATTGAAAAAATTAAAAATATTATAAGACCTTAAAATTTGAAATATATGCTTAGTTTTTATATAAATTTTTTTTTTTTTTACATATGTATTTAATTTTTTTCCTTTTTTTCTTAAATTAATTATAAAAATATTTTCTTTTACATTATATTTGTTACACAATTTCCTTTTTTGTTAATTATTAATTTTTTTTTTTTTTTTTTTTTATATCAAAACATAAAACAATAATTGAATCAAAATGATAGTTTTTAAGTTATTTGATAAGAAAAAAAAAAAAAAAAAAAAATAATAAACATATAAAAAAATTTATATATATTTTGGTATATATATATATACATATATATGTTTTTTAACATTTAATAATAATGCATTTCAAAATTTTTAATCAGAGAATTATTTATTAAATATAAATATATAAAAAGAAAAAAAAAAAAAAAATGATAAAATAAAAAATAGACGAATTACTATATATAAAAAATAATTTTTTTCTGAATATAAACTTGATAAATATATATTATTCATAAAAAAAAAAAAAAAAAATAATAATAATAAACATATAATAAATTAATTACAAATACTAAGCGGCAAACATAAAAAATATTTAGAAAAAAATTCTATGAAATTATATCAATAATTATGACAACATTTTCCTATGTAAAAAATAATAAAAAGTCATAATGCCATAAGTAGAATATATAAATGTATATACATAAGTAAGGAATAAAAAAAAAAAAAAATATATATATATATATATATAACTGATCTAATTTAAATCTATAAAGTACTAAAAAATAAAGAAAACATTTGAACTATAATTTTTTTATACAACACCTTTTTACATTTATAGGATAAATATGTATTCAATGATTTCTTTCTCCTTTTGTTATAAATTATATAATTATAAAGGTAAAACATTTCCATTCAAATACATATATATCAAAGCAAAATGCAAAAAAAAAAAAAAAAAAAAAAAAAAAAAAAAAAAAAAACTATACTAATTAAAAATAAAAATCATATAATTATATAAGATAAATGTAATAATGTGAATAATAATCAACGAGTATAAATTTTTTTAAATAATTTTTGTTAAAATAAATATATATAATTTCTCTTGTCATTTTTTTTCTTAAGTTAAAAAAGATCAATTCTGTGAATATATCTTGGAATAAAATATATCCCAAGCTGATGAAATTATACTCAGTATAATTTCTTTATCCTTATATATCCTTAAATATTTTTTAAATTTATTTATAAAAACTATATATAATTCTTTTGGTATTTGATAAAAATGATATATGACCTTTTCTTTTAATACTTTGCAAATAAATATTAATGGTTCTAATAATCCTTCAAAATATTTATTTAATAATAATTCATCACAATCAAACCAACATTGCCTTGTAGATATCCAAGACATTAAGCACAAATTACATGTTTCTTTTATTTTGACACTCTTGCAAAATATATATGCTTTTATTATTTCTCCTAATAAATTTTTTTCACATATATTATTTATATTTTTTATTTTATTTTCATTATTCATTTTAGTATAACAATTATCTTCTTCACTTAGTAGTTCATCTAATTCCTTTAAATCCGTTACATCTCTTAAATTTATATAAAAATTCCATTTAACTTTTTGGTTAAAATCGTAATTTATACAATTTTTTAAGTTATTGCTCATTTTTTATCCTTCAAAAAAATATTTTTATAAATACATATAAGTTATATTCATTTATAAATAAGGTGAATATATATATATATATAAATATATATATATTTTCTTAATAAGTTTTAAATTATAAGAATCAACTTTGTAATTAAATAACCAAAAAAATAAAAAAAAAAAAAAAAAGGAAATCAGATAAAAACATAACCCTTATAATACTTATAAGATTATTATAAGGTATATTTTTATGAAAAAATCTTTGAATAGTAATATTCTAAAATGATAAAATATTAATATGTAATGAATCATATAATACAGATGTAAAAAAGTTCAAAAATATATATATATATAAATATAAATATATATATATATATATATATTAGATATATATAGTAATAATGAAATTAATAATTGTAAGAATAATTAATAAAGTAAAATATTTTATTATTAATCATCAACATCATAAATAATATTACTATCATTATTATTAATAGTTATCAAAGCCTTATTTGATAAAAAAAAATTGTAAATATATTTATATATTAATTTACAACATTTCCTTAAATATGTCTTACAAAAAAAAAAGAAAGGAAAATAAAGTAATATATAATAATATACTGTTTGTAGTAAAACTAATGAAACTTAAAAAAAAATTTTAAAGAGCCAAAAAAAAAAAAAAAAAAAAAAAAAAATCAATTGATAACTTTAAAAAAATTGTATATATATATAAATTATTTTTTAATAATAAATATATAAATATATATTTTTGTGAAGAAATAAGTGTAGCATATCATTAAATAATAGAAAAATATAATATATTAATATATAAATTATGAAATGAATATTCAAATAAATATATTTTCATTGAAATTTTTAACTACATTTTTTTTTTTTTTTATATATGAATATGAAGAAAAAAAAAAAAAAAAGAATAATTAGAATTATTTTCCATCTAAATTTTAAGAAAAATTTTTATATAATTTTTCAAAAAAATTATTTTTTTAAATTTTTTTTTTTTTAAAAAAATTTAAATTTAAGAATCTTATGTTTAGAAAAAAATAAAAAATTTTTAGAAAACAAAAAAAAAAAATTTTATTATTCTGTAGTATATTTAAATTAATTTCAAAGTACATGTAATAACAAATGTTTATACGCATTTATAATTTGGGTTTTTTTTAATATTCTTTTTATTAAATAATTTTTTTCTTTCTATTTAAGAAGAGATACAATTAAAAAAAAATTTTTTTCTTTAGACGTTATGTAAAAAGAAGAGAAAAAAAAAATTAAAAAATAAAAACACATATTTTTATGCATATATATAGATATATAAAAATATATAGATATATATATATCTATAAATATATATATAAATATATATAAATATATAAATATTTATAGATATATATATATCTATATATATTTATATAGATATATATGTGTATAAATATATATACATATATATGTATGCGTATTTATATACATAATATATATAATATATATACGTAATATATATACATAATATATATATATAATATATATACGTATATATTTATATATATATATATATATATATGTATGTGTATATATATACTTAATATATATACGTAATATATATATATATATGTAATATATACACGTATATATATATATTTATGTGTACAATATGTATACTTATAAGTATAATATAACTATATATACCTAAAATGCATAACTATGATTCTATGTTACAAAATGAGGCCTTTTCGATTGAAGAGATATATGAAAGTGATATAACTAATGAAGAAAATAAATTACTTATTGAATATATAAAAAATATGCAAAATGAAAGAAATTTAATTCCAAATACAGTTAATGCTAATATAATACTGGATAAAAATGAAAATTTGAATAGAAATAAGATTCATAAAATATTTGAGATTATAGATAAATATACAGAAAGTGAAGAATTAGAAAAAAGAGAATATAATAAGAACAGTAATTTAAAATGGAAAACAACAGTAATTGAATATTTAACTAATTTAAGAAATTATATTCATAAGAAATACAATCGAAAAATAATCGATGCGTACAAATATAATTCATCTGATTGTTCTATATTATTATCTTTACAAAAAAATGAAAATTTAATATCAATTTTTCGTTCGAAGCCATTATGTGTTCATTTATATATATATGGCATTAATTATAAACAAATTATTTATTACATTGATATTGTAACACAATATATAGAATCAGAAAAAGAAAATAACCTTTTTTTATATTTGTGGTTAATTTATTTTCTTATTTTATTGGATTCTTTACAAGCATTGGATTCCAATGTTTCATCAAATCTACAAATAATAAAACGTTTTTGTATAAAAAAAATTGGTAACTCTAATATATGCGCTTTTAATAAAAAAAAAAATAACATTGATTTTTTAACACATTTTAATTGTAAATCCAAAGTAATTAATTGCGATGTTTCATTGCATTGTATGACAAACATATTTTATATTATTTACTATATAATCACTGATATATTTAATCAAAAATAATTAAATAAATAAATAAATAAATAAATAAATAAATAAATAAATAAATAAATAAATAAATATATATATATATATATATATATATTTATATATATATCTAGTGCATAACAAGATAAATTATGGAAAAAAATAGGATAAAATAAGAAATATTTAAGATTTAAGTTTAGATAATTAAAAACAACCGCTAATATGGAATTAAATAAGTGAAAGAAATATTTACATATATGCATACTCATTTTAACAAATGAAATAAATTTCTATTATGAATTAATATTATTGCACCCTTCTAAATAAGTATATCGCTTAAACACCTATTGATTTTTTAATTTTTTTTTTCCTAATTATATTTTTTTTGTATTTGAATTTTTTTATATTTCTTTAAATATGTTTTTATAATGATGATAAAAAATAAAGAAAAAAAACTTTTTATTTTTGCCTTTTTTGTGATATTATTTATTCTCATTTTTGTTATACTTTAATATATATATATTTTATATATATCTTTTTGTTTTTATACAATCACGTGAAAATATGCTTAATGTAGAAATAAAAAAAGTTCATTATTTAAATATTTTTTAATTAATTTCATTAGGCACTCTTATTAAATATTTAATTCCTTTTAAATTAACTGAGATATAGAAAATAATTAATTTATCTAAATTTTTTATTGGAAATATTAAGAAATAAAAAATAATATATTGCTTTTTGAAAAAGCAATTTTTTTTTTGTAGATATTGATTTAATTATAATATAAATAATAAATGGAAAATACAAAAGTATATATTAAAGTAATATGCTTAAGCATAATAACTTAAGAACCTGTATAAAATTTTTTTTTTTCGGATATAAATTTTTATTAAAAAAAAAATATAAACAAAAAAGTTATTAAAAAAAGTTGTAGATAAATAATGCAAATGTTAAATTATTATATGTTAAATAAAAAAAAAATATTAAAATAAAACAGAAAAAAAAAATATATATATAATTATTTTGTTTGATATTTCTACATAAAATAACATGCATACCTATTTTATATATATACAAATAATACATCCAACCAAGAATATCTAATATATTTAATATAATAATGACAATTTTTTTTAAAATTTCAAAATGTTTTATAGTTAAAATAGGCAAAAAAAAATAAGGAACTGCAAATGATGAAATAAGAATAGTTGTAGAGCAATTTAAATTTATATCAAAGAAAAACAAAATTTCCCTATTTAAATCTTTTATTGATTCAAAAACAGTATTATATTCATTACCAACAATGGATCTATTTTTAATGCATTTAAATATATATATATAATTTAATGTAGTTATTAATATTCCTGTTAATAGAAAAATAAGTAGTGGATAAAAAATCCTAATAGTAAAAAGTGCATATTTCGAATTATCATTTATTACATTTGGTTTTCTTGATATTATATTTATACTATATATATATCCAATTGTTAAATAATTAACTAGAAAAATAAAAAAAAAGCAAGGATCATCACGATAATAATGATTTTTATTTTGCTTTCTATATAAAAATAATTTATACAATTTTGAAGGACAAAATAAACTATATGCTATTTGTGCATAATTATACTTGATATCTAAATTTGCTTTATTTAATAATATAACAATATAATCATAAGAAATTTTTTTTTTCACATTTTTGTTAAACTGCTTATGTGAACTAATTATTTTTCCAATGTTTTTAATTCCATATCCATTTTTCTTTCTAAAATCGATTCCAATTTCTTCATTTTTTTTTTTATTTTCATTATTATGAAGTGGCAACATTAAAAATAGAGAAGGGAATTTGTATTACTAACTTATTGATATAAGATACTATTAAAAAACAAAAAAAAGAAAAGAAATATTTTAAAGTAAAATTTTAAATGCAATTTTTATTACTAATTTATTATAAAAAAAATATATATTTCAGTTTATATTATCTTTATTTTTATTGCAATATAAAAAAAGATATGCTGTATTTCATTATTAAAAATATCTACCTATTAAAACATATCTTTTTTTTTTTTTTTTTTTTTGATTATCTTTTTAAAATTTATAAAATTAAATTATAAAAATTAAAAGAAAATAAAAAAATTAAATTAAATTATTCTTTATAAATTTTACAAAATAGTATCATATATATTGAATGAAAATAAAATTTTCTTTTTAAATTATAATGAAATTGTATTAGTATTATTTTATTTTTATATCTTCATTTATCTCTAATAAAATACATATATTTTTTAAAATTTCATTTTCTAAACTTATTAAGCAAAAATAATTTTCGGAATTTTACATATTTCGCATAAGAATAATCAGCTATATTTCTCCGTATTTATATAATTTTAAATTGAATCATTTTTTTTTTTTTTTTTTTTTAATAAATTAATCAATCTTTTTAAGCTAAATTTTTTAGAATACTTTTTTTAAAAAAAAAAATAATTATACTTCTTTCAGTATATAATTGTGGTTTTGAAGAAAGATTTTAAATATCTGTTAAACTTTTGCAAGGTTAAAAAAAAAAAAAAAAAAAAAAAAAAAAAAAAAAAAAAGCCATCTATATTATAAATTTTATTTTGTTATTGTATTGTTTCAGTGTTTTATTGTGTTGGTATTATTGTGCTTTATATTTATGAGGTTTATATGTTATGTAACTCTTCGTTAATACAAAAACTACAGATATTAAAGTTTTGTAGATTATATATATTTGCATATTATGTATACATTTTATATGTATATTTATATATACATAAAGATATATATATATATATATATATATATAAATTTATATTAATATATTAATAATTATAAATATGCATATGTTATATGTAGCATGTGTATGATTTTTATTTGTTGCATGCTCTTGTAATATAATTATTTTGCCTTAAATTTTTGTTTTTTTTTTTTTTTTTCATATTTATAAAATTTACATTTAATACTTTTTATATTAATTTCAGATATACACGAAGCAAACTACATAAATATTCATTAAGTGTGGTTGTTTTATAATTATAAAACAAAAAAAAAAAAAAAATTTATATGAAACTTCATATTCAGAATTTAATATGAAAGTGAATTTATAAATATTAAAAAAAAAAAATTTATTCAAAATAAATTCTCACACTTGCAAATAATAAATAAAATAAAGAAAATACGTGGCTATATATATTTAAAATACTAAATAAAAAGCTTAAACTTTTTTTTTATTATTTTTCAAATAAGAACACATAAATATATACACATATACATATATTTTTTTGAAAAGGGGAAAAAAAAATATATAGAAAATATAAGTATGTATGTATATATTTAATTATTTTTTATAACAATCAAGTTAACTAAATAATGCTATAAATAATCTATGAACTCCAAAAAGAATTCCACCATTATTTTATCACATTCAGGTGAAAATACCATACCTGAGTCATCACAGAAAAAAGAACAAAATAATGCAAAATCAAGCAGTTATAATTCTTTCAACTTATTTAGTTTGAAAGGTTATGATATGCCACAAACATTAGAAGAACAATTAAAAAAAAAAGAGATACGAAAATCTTCAGAACAAAAAACTCCATATAATGTGAATAGAAATATTTTATTATTTGTGTATTTTGCATTAATTGTTTTAACAAATCGATTGTTTTTTGGATGGCCAAATTTATCAAATTTATTATTTAGAGAAGACACATATATATGGAAATGCAAAAAGAATTCTGATGGAACTTATGATAGAGTACCAGATAAAAGATATGTGTGTGATGATCAAGATAAAGCAGTACAAACAATTTTTGTCTTTGGTTCCTCTGCATATTTTGCTTTTTCTTTTTTTAATGGATTAATAGTAGACTATTTAGGTTCTAGGTTTAGTATGTTATTAGGTCATATTTTAAATTTAATTGGATGGATATTAATTCTTGTATCAAACGAAAATTTTGATGCATATGTTATTGGAGGTATATTTACATCAGCAAGCATTGATTTAGCATCTTTTTCTACTTTAAATGCATCTGGTTTATATCCAGGAAATGAAAATTTAATTGTTAATATAATTTCTGGTGCAGGGTCTTTATCTACTGGTACTATGACTATTCTTGATTTAATAATAAGTGGTCTGAACTTATCTTTCAAAACATTTATGCTTTGGTATATGTGCATTAGTGTTGGATTTTTTTTTATAATAACTATTTTCCTTTTTCCTAGAACTAGGTATTTTAGGCAATATGAATTTGATAATTATTACAAAAATAAAGAAATTAATTTAGTAGAAAAGGAAGAAATGGATACGATGAAAAAAGTTGATGAGAACAATTATGTATTACAAAATGTTGAAATACAAGAGGATATAGAAATGGATAATATGACTTCACGTAAAAGCGATTATAATGAAATGGGAATAAATGAAAATAGAAAGGTAGAAGATTATGCTAGTACAAATAATAGTAGTATTACTTCTAAAAAAAAACAAAACATATTTAAATCTACTACATTTAAGGATTTATTCAACATTTTTACCTGTGCTCACTTTTTATGCTTATGGATATATGGTCCTTTAAATGCTATTTATAACACTTTTTATTATAGTGTTGTAGAAAACATTTTATCAAAAGATAAAAATGATATACTTGGTTATATTTTGCCATTTTCTTTTATACCATGTGTAATACTAGGAAATATAACAGACAAATTTGGTATTATGATTATGTTTGCATATGAATTACTTTTTGCAATGTCTATGTATGCTTTTAGCTATTCCAAATCAAGTATTGCTCAATGGATATCAGTCATTTCAAATACTTTATATTCAGCTTGTGCAAATGGTCAATTATGGACTTTCATATCTTACACTTTTAGTTCAAAATATCATTCAACTCTTATTGGGTTTTTAAATTTTGTTTGTGGTATTGTGTCTTTTGTTCGATTATTATTATTTGAATGGGCTAAATATACCAATTATGATTTTACTTATATTAACTTACTTATTATATGTATGATCGGTGTTAACATAGCTTTAGCAATTGCTCTTGTATTTATTAGAAAGATTAAGGGAGAAAAAGTTATTTACGGAGATGAAAATCCATCAAAATAATTTTTAAAAAAAAATTTATTTTTTTTTTTTTTTTTTTTTTTTATGTATATATATGTATATGTTTTATAAAAAAAAAAAAAAAAAAAATGTTTATATATATGATATACATGAAAATAATATAGTTTAATAAATATACTAAAAAAAAAAAAAAAG